TTCAGTTTCGGTTAGTTCGGTTAATTGGTTTCAGTTCGGTATTTAAAATTTGCTCTATTCGGTTATTTGGTTAATTCGGTTATCACCGATAACTGAATTGAAAAACCGAATACTCACCCCTACTTAGGATTGCGTCATACCTGCTAATAGGGGTAGAAATAGGTCAGATGGCTTGTCAAGGGCCTGTGGCCTGGCCTATTTAGATATCAGAATAGGTTCAAGCCTGTAAAAAATCCTGTTTATTTTATTAGGCTAGGCTCAGGTCTGATAATAAGTCTATTAGGCTTGTCAGGCGGCCTAGGCCTGTTATCTTTTCTCTTTTTTGAGATTAAAATTGTAAATGGACATGAGTGAATCTACTATTCTGGTTGGTTAATTAAGAAAACTCCACTCACATAAACATGTTATTCAGAGCTCAGTGCATGCTTCATTTCATTTTCATTCTCTATAATAAAAATAATTGGTATATATATAATGACACATATTTGAACAGAGAAAGAAAACATAAGTACATTAAAAAAATAAAAACATCATTCATTTATTTGATCTATGCTTTTCATTTTAATCTTATATAGAATATATATATATATATATATATATAGAATTGACTTATTATGTTTTAGATTGTATATATGTGTACTCAATTTAATTCTTATTATAATAGTTGCTTAATTAATTTAAATAAATAAATAAATCATAATAAATGTATACATATTTTTTTTAAAACAATCATATGTAACAATAGGATCAAATATCACTTTGTTAGTAAGTTGGTTTGAACAAATGATAAATTTAAAATATAAAGAGGATTAAGGATGTTTCATATTTTAAACTAGGGGTGTGCAAAAACCCAGTGGTCCGGTCCAGTCCAGTCCAACCCGAAGTGGTCTTGTCTGGTCCAATCCAGTCCAAATTAACTATATAATGGAATTAGACTAGACTGGACCAGACTAGTTGGTCAGGCTGGACTGGGTTTCAGACCAAGTGATCATATCACTTAGACTGGTCCAGTCCAGTCTAGGTGAATTTTTTATTTTTTAATAATTTGTAATTTAGATGGTGCCTTTAATTGTTTTTAATGTTTTTAGATATTTTTATGTATTTATGATGAAGTCTTAATATTTTAGTATGAGTTTCATATGATTATAGGTATTTTTTATTGTTTTAATTGTACTTATCATGTTGAAATCTTGTTTCTCATAAAGAAAAAATTAAAAAAAAGGAAATTAGACAACTAGACTGCCTGGACCAGTCCACCAGTTTGGTAGACCAAGTCCAGTCCAACCCGACCTCAGGTCATCATTGGACTAGACCAGACCACAGACTATCAAACCCAGTCTGACCAAAAAATCAGATTAGACTTCGGGTTGGGCTCTGGTCTGGTCCAGTCCGTCCATTGTGCAGCCCTATTTTAAACTAGATCTAGTCATCAACTAATTTTTATACTAGAGATGAGATGAGGTGATATTTTTATACCAAAGTGAAATTATGTTTTCTAATAATTTTTCATATTTGATTTTTTTTTTGGGCTTAAGGGGACACGTTTTACAAATTATGGTAATTTGATAATTTCATATTTTCTATTTATATTTTAGATAAATTTGATAATTTCATATATTGATTTACGTGTGTTTGAAATTTGTTAAAAAAAACAGGTCCTCTTAACAAGTCACAGGCCAGGCCAGGCTCAAGCCAAACAAAAGACATTTTACAGGCCAGAGACCGGGCTTGTTAAAGGTTTGGCCTGCCCTAGCTTGGCCTGATCTGTTTCCAACCTACCCGCTGATTCGCATGACTATGAAATCATTGGCAAAAGAAAACCCACCCATCTCCTATGCTAGATCAGGACAATGGCGTGTGATGCATACCTGACGAGTGTCAGCCATCGTGAGCTGAATACTCGAGTGCTCTTGTACCTTCAAGTTCAACCTCTTAGCAACCGAAGCATTGATTACATTATGAGTGCTACCTGTGTCAATGAGGAAGATGATTTTCTAGTTCTGGACGCGTCCCAATAACTTCAGGGTAACCGTATCCTTGCGACTAAGGGTGGAAACAGGTCAGGCCAGGCCAGGCCTTGCTCTTAACAGACCAGGCCTGTTTTGGAGCCTATTGGCCTGAGCCTGGCCTGTGGCCTGTTACAGGCTTATTTTTTAGCCTGAGCCTGACCTGTATAAAGGCCTGGCCTGGCCTGAAACCTGTTAAAAGGCCTGTATTTTTAAAAAACTGAAATTATAATTATTATTTTTTTAAAAAAGCTAAGATTAAAAAAAATGTATATAATAATTAAATTTTTAGTCTTGTCTTTTATTTAAATTTTAGTATCATAAGTACTATTTTAAATCTTAATTATAATTTATAAGAATATTAGTGAAAACTAATTGTAATTATATGTTAAAATTTGGAATAAGACTACGTTATCTCATTCTCGGTTTAGCATCATATATCGATCTGGAGAAAATTTTTTTTGTTGTAATGCGGATTAAGGAGCTGGTCCTCCATTCTGTGGCTTATCAATTCCCAGCGTGACACACTAGATACAGCTACAGAGACATGAATCAAATCTTTTGTCTCCGGTTGCCCATATTCTATATCTTGACACAAAAAATTAAAATTAAGACAAATAAATGAAGAGGAAAAAAATACTAATTTTATAATGAATAAAGAGGGTATCATACTTAAATTAACATAACACATAAGTTAGTTAATTTATCATTCTTGGAAAAAAAATTTCTTTCCTATTTTCTTTATATTTTTAAGATTTAAAAATCACATTATTTATTGATATTATTATTTTAAATTATATTTTTATCTTCACTTGTCATCTAAACTTCAAAATCTAAGAAAAGATTAAGCTATTAACTATATATTAAAATTAAAAAATAAATTAAAATAGCACATTAACAATAATAGTATTAATTAATTTTTTCATATATTATAATTATAAATTCCTAACAGGCCCAGGCCGGCCTAACAGGCTTAACAGGCTTTTTAAAAAGCCTAAACCTGGCCTCTTTAACTAAACAGGCCTTCAAACAGGCCTGAGCCTGTCTTTTTTGGGAAACAGGCCAGGCCAGGCCAGGCCAAATGCAGGCCAGGCCATAGGCCCCTGACAGGCCGTCTGGCCTGTTTTCACCCCTACTTGCGACCTTCAATGGGGTTAATGTGACCAACGGAATCTGATGGAATGACATCCAGAGCATCTTCAAATTGGTCGTCCTCCTTGTCAATTACCAAAGAGAAAAGTTGCGACTGTCGGCACTTTTGGGAGCTGGTGTATTTTTCGTCGCACTAGTAGTAGAGGCCCTTTTACGTCGATCATCCATCTCATGTTTGGTCAGCTGGTGAGTGGGCTTTGATGCCCCAGGAGAAGTAATAAAGGTAGCAGGGGAGGTGCCTGTGGGGACTGAAGGTTTGGGCGTAGTGATTGAGCCCTTAGGATGATCCATAGACCCAATGGTGCCTGTTGAGCTGACTGATGATCCAATAGAAATAGTAAAGCGGGACCTAGAGTCCATATTGCGACTGGAAGGGAAATCGGATGTGGAATAGCCCCTGCGATCACGGCCATGAGCATTATCGTGGAGGGCACGAACTGTATGCTCATGCATTCTTGCCGAACACATGGCCATCGCTAATGTTGATGTCACAAAATTCAAGGCAAGTTGTTGGATATCGCTGCGTAGCTCTCCAATGAATATATTAATAGCTACTTCCTCTGGAATATCCACCTCTGGTAACAGTTCATTAAACACTCTCTCGTAGTCAGAAACCGACCCATCCCCTTGCTGCAACCTCTTGAGAGCAATAAGAGGCTTCTCATCATGGATGTCAATAAACTTCACCTCCATTTGCCTGAAATATTCCTCCCAAGTAACATTTGAGAAACTGCAGTGATGCATAAAAGTCTGGTGCCAAGGCAAGGCATGTTCCTCCAAGTGAATACTGAGGAGCCTAATGCGATGCTTTGGCGGAGTCGCATCAACATCAAAAAATTGGCAGCGTCTGTAGGACCACCCGCGGAATTCACTGCCATCAAATTTAGGAAAATCTACTTGACTCTGTTTGGTGTGGGTGGTGTACAACGACGGTTGATGGTCCATCTCATGAAACGAACCAAAAACCAGCATGCAAAGAGTTTGCAGATTGGAAGCTCCCTTGCCAGAACCTGAAGTCTGGCGTCGGCCATTGTTGCCAGGAAGAGCAAAGAACTTAGCTGTGAGTTCCTTTAGATAACCTTCAAAAGACGACATAGACTGACAAAGGTCGGCAAGACAGTTTTTGACGGCATTGAAATGAGCTTGGTGGCCCTGAAATTGATGCTTAAGCTCCCCAAGCCTGTCAAAGGATCGTGTATCCGGTGCCATGGCAAGCTAGACAGGGGCTCTGATACCAGAATGTTAACAGAGAATCAGAATAGAAGGAATTTCATTCAACAACCATAAATGGTGTAGTACAGCCACTATATGATCACTCTCTTCACACTGTTCACATGTAACGACTTACGCATAACTAACTATATGATGATCTCAGCATGTAATTACAATAGAGCCCTCCCAAGTATTATTTACTATATAGTCTGTTAATAAATCCCATATGTCACTATTTCTCTCAAAGTTCTATTGGTAATAATCAGAAAAGCTCATAACAGTATGATCTGGAAAATGGAAAACCTGAACCAAAGGAAACAGTCTGTAAGTTGCTTGTCAGATTGCTTCAGAGAGAATTGCAAGCTTAAAGTCTCATGATGTTGATCAGTTTAGGTCCAGAGAAGAAGTAAATTGAATCCCACAGATACAAAAATAAGCATAGATGTTTGCATATCTTGTTTTGCTGTTTATCCAGCCACAATTATGTATCGGTGACTGGCCAAGGTCTCCTAATTACCCATTCAAAAACATTCTTCTTTGAATTTTTTGGTTTGAGAAATTGCAAAATTATAGTTAATATTATAGCAAATGAGATTTTGATTGAATCCATGTGATCTGTAATCTTCTGACATGAACCTCAGAGATTTATGCCCAAAACGTTTGCTAATGTAATTGGATTGCTAAGTGTCACATTCTATCTTTCCAACATCGAACTCTAGTGAATTCTATTCTTTTACCCTTTGAATAACAAATTGCAGATTCATCTGTTAAGATTCTTTGTCTCGTGCAGTTACTGCTTTATCATCTCCCACTGAATTTTGGGAAAACAAGCCACCAAGTTGGGTGGGCACAGATCCTTGTGGTGGTTGGGAAGGCGTCGAATGTAGCAATTCAAGAGTGACATCAATGTTAGCTCTTAATTTCCATTTGTTAAGATTATCAATTTGTTGCCTTTTTCTTATTCTATTTATTTTTTAAATTCTAAAGTTCCCTCCTTGATTCCACAAAAAACTGTCAAGCATGAACTTAAAAGGCAGCTTGACGGAGGCTATTGGGAGATTAACTGAATTAAAGACTCTGTAAGCTTTCTCCCCTTAAATAAGTGAGACAGAGCTAATAAATCAGAATTCTGTATATATATGAATTTTTCACTGGGCCTATGTTTACATATGAAAGCTCAAGATCCTATATTATATTATATAGTTTGATCTAGACAGGATTACATCAGCAATTCTTAGTTCAATTGATTATATTATATTATATTATATTATATTATTTTTGTCTATATAGGGATCTCTCTTGCAACAAAGGCATGGGTGGAAGAATTCCAGCTGAAATTGGGAATTTGAGTAAATTACAAATCCTGTAACGATGACATTTAGTACCTAGAAGCAAATCATTCATAGTATAGCATAAAGTTTTTATTGGTTTCCTGCTGACTAATAATATACCCCCCCATTCATTGATAATATGTTGCTTTTCTTATTGTTTTCCAGGTCATTGGTTGGTTGTGATTTCTCTGGTCCTATTCCTCAACCATTAGGAGATCTTAAGCAGCTGACCTTTTTGTAAGGATTTAATTTTAACAATGTTATTTTTGCCAGTGCTGCTACTTTCTTAAGAAGCTCTACACATACACAAACAAGAGAAAAGAATGAGTTTTCTTTTTTTTTAAAAAAAAAAAATACATCTTCAACCATAATAAGAGTTTTTTTTAAAACAAATTTAGATATTTTCAACATTTTAGGAACTGATCGAAAATATTCTGAGTGATGGACCTCATAGTGTCTGCAGCATGTGTTCCTTTCTTTGAAAGTGGAAAAAGTGTAAGACCTATCTATAACGATCAAATGACTACCAATGATGGCTACTCTTTTCTTTTCAGGAATTTAGATTGTATTGCTTTACTGAGTAACCATGTTGTGTTGCATATATTTTTGATTCTGTAATGTGTCATGTTGATCTTTTCTCATTTGCAAAATCAAAATCAAAATCAATATATTTATAAAATTATAGGAAGACTATTCATAAATTGTGAACTGTGGCTCATCTCGAGCTATGTGCATCTCATTTAAAAAATGCCCCCAAAATGTTGCTGATACAGCCAAGGGTTTTTCCAATTTAAGAGGATGATGCTTGAAATTTAACATCTCTTTTAGATTGCCCTGGTGTTTCTTTAGGCTGATACCTGGTAATTAATGTATGACTTACACTTACTGATTCTTATTCAGAGCTCTTAATCTTAATCGGCTGAGTGGAAATATTCCACGTACGTTGGGCAATCTATCCAATGTCAATTGGCTAGATATTGCAGACAACCAGATTGAAGGACATATCCCTATCTCTGATGAAGAAGGACCTGGTCTTGACATGCTACTCAAAGCAGAGCACTTGTATGCCTTCTCCCTATATTAGTTTGATGTCATTAGTTTTTGTAGTCACATGGCTGCATTTTTCCTGGTTCAGCGAAGGACTTGATATGCCTCCATGTTCAACTTGTGCAGTCATTTTGAAAACAACCGCCTCTCAGGGGAAGTTCAAGCTCAGCTTTTAAGTTCAAAGATGATACTGAAACACCTGTAAGGTTCATTAAAACTAGAAAGTTCATATTTTTGTGATGTTGTGGGCTCGGCAAATGTGGATGTAGGAGTAACCTTACGATTATTTCAAGTGATTTTGTTTTTCAATAATGAACTGAGGATCATTTCATATGTTCTTTTGGTGAGGCTTCTTCACAACAATCACCTAGTTGGCAGCATTCCAGACACTACTGGATTGATAAAGACATTGACGGTGGTGTGAGTACCTTGTCACAGATATTATTATCCACAATCGATTAGATTTTCGCGACATTTTCTTTATTGAATGTTTTCTTTTGGCAACAGACGGTATGATCACAATCAAATGACTGGAGAAGTGCCTTCAAGTATCAGAAATCTCACAAAACTCACTGTTCTGTAAGAATGCAGAAAAAATGGTTCAAATTTAACTTCATAACTATCTGAAGATGTTTTCTTTGTTTTTTCCCTCAAGAATCTTGTTAGTGAGAGAAGATATTGATTATATTTTTTCTCCAGGAATTTAGGCAACAATAAACTAAATGGCTCTATGCCTGATCTTACTGGATTAGATGCATTCGCCTCTGCGTAAGTAACAAAATACTGACTATATTGGCCAAAGTATTTATCCTATACTTGAGAATTAACTGCAAATTTTTTTCCTTTTAATTAGATCTGCAAAATTACCTCATATGAAGAATATAGGCTTATATTTATGCAATGTTATTTACATATCAAATTATCTGCAAGGATTTGAGCAACAACTCTTTTAATCCTTCCAATATCCCTTCATGGGCCTCAAGCTTGCCATATTTAACTACACTGTAAGTTCTTATTATCTCCTTCCTCCAAACACAACCACTATTTCTCCCTGTCCATCTTTTGAGTCAGTTATTGTGTGTGGCAGATTATTGGAAAATACTGGACTGCAAGGGGAAATACCGGACTCCTTATTTAGCCAGTCTAATTTAGAGGCTGTGCAAGTCCATCTGCGGCTAATCTGTCTTCAAGTGTATGAAAACATTATGGTCATAAACTGATTGTTTTGAAACGTGGAAACAGGGTATTGAGGAATAATAAGCTCAATGGTACCTTGGATGTCGGCAACAACCAACCCAATATGAATCTTGTTGATCTGGAGAATAACAACATAGGTGAATTTGATCAGGAAAGTGGAGGAATCAGTTTTAAAGTCTTGTAAGCTTCTTTCAGCTAATTTTATTAGATTTTTTATGCTATTTTCATGTCAATGCGACCCTGGGGGAAGAGACTAAGGGTGTGTTTGGATTAGCGGTGGAAAAGTAACTTTTTTTTCAATCTGACTTTTACAGAAGTCAGATTGGATAAAAATTAGATGGTGTAATGTGATTTATGTTTGGATTGAGTTTTGTAAAAAAGTCAGTTTGAAAAGCTAAAACTTGTTTGGATGATTAATGAAAAAGTAAGTTTGGATGTAAAATGACTGAAAATGATATAAATTTTATTATTGCAACAAATAAATGTGGATAACATGGTCATTTTCTATGCAAATGGCACTTCTTTTGAGGCAAGAGAGAGAGTATCCCATTTTCATAAAGCTCATTTTTTTCCACCCCACCATGATGCATCCCACAAGCAACAAAAAATGACTTCTACGAAAAACTACTTATTTTCATAAAGCTCATTTTTTTCCATCGTGATTCCAAACAAAAAATTGTAACCAGAAGCTAGTTTGGCTGGTGAGAAGTCAGTTTGGAATCACAAAACGTGATCCCAAACACACTCTAAAGCTATTACCTTTTGACTAAAGGGAATTAACTGATTTGGTAAGAAGGGATAGCATGTCTCCTTAACAACTTTGGGTTATTTCTTTTGGCAGCATCATGGGCGAGTGCGCCCTTAAAATTGCTTTAAGAGAAGAAGAATTTGACTTTAGCAAACTATTCAGTTCTATAATAATAAAACAGGGTTTCGAGTTTCACTTCTCCAATAAAGTTATCTGATGTTTTTGCAGACTAATTGGCAACCCCATTTGTCTTGAAACAGGAGCCAATTCGCAAAGTTACTGCAAAAGCTCGCAAACTAATATCACATATTCAATGCCAGAAAATAACTGTATATCTCGTGTTTGTGGTTCTAACATGGTTTCCAGCCCAAACTGCAAATGTGCATTTCCCTATAGAGGAGTTCTGACTTCTAGATCTCCTGGTTTCTCAAACTTTGGAAACACAAGTTACTTTAAGGATCTTGAGCTTGGCTGTTGACTACTTTCCAGTCCCATGACCTGCCAGTGGATTCAGTTTCTCTGACCAATGCATTCCAGAATTCTGTTACTTCTGACTTTAGTTTGGACGTAGAAATCTTCCCATCTCAAAGTGACCGTTTCAACAGAACTGGAGTTTTAAGCATTTCGTTCGTGCTTTCCAACCAGATCCACAAACCTCCAGAATTTTTCGGCCCTTACTCTTTTTCTAGTAGTGATAGCTATGAATTCTACGCAGGTGATTCACTATCGACTTAAAAAAAACAAAAGCCTAAGGAGGCGTTTGGCAAGGTGTAGATCACTGTATTCCAAATGCCTCCTGCTAATTCTGAATTCTCTTTCTACTCTCTATGATGTTCTTATTTGGGAAAGTGATAGATGAAGAGTAATGACAGGTAAGACCCTTAAAAATTAAAATTCTTGTCAAGGACCGTAGAAACAAGCTATTACGGATTTCTTAAAGTCATTTCTCATGCTGCCTAAAATTAGAATCAAAATTCTTGACAGGTCAGCAATGGCTGAAGTTGTTAAAGAGATTGAGAATATAATGCAACTTGCTGGTTTCAACCCCAACGCTGAATCAGCAACAACATCAGCAACCCATGAAAATGTTAGTGGTGGGAAGATCTACCATCCTTAGATGAAGATTTCGCTTACACGAGCGTTTATCCACCGGTAAAAGTGGAACCTCATTAGCAGCTTTGGCATTTGTGGTGTTCCCCCCCGGGTAAATCCTTTTTCTCTTCAGACGCTTTTAATTTGTTCTGGTTTGGTGTGTGAAAAATGTGAATTTAAGAAGAAATTCAGAATCACCTTGCAATTATAATTCAAATTTGTATTATGCTTTAGAATCGCATGTAGGCTCCTCAGAAATTCTTTTTAATTGTGAAAAGTTACGTGTATTTGTTTTTTTCCTATGCTTGAATTCATTGAGAGAAGAATCGGACAGAACAAATTTTTGTTCACCTAGTGAGATAACATTTCTTCTTGTATGCTTTTGTCACGAGGGTGTTTTTGCAGTTCTGGATGACTGTAATCTTGGATTATTGAAAAGATGCCAGCTTAATTAGTTAGCCTTGTCATTGGAAAAAAGGATGGATAAAAAATATTGGGTTAAGGTGCAAATTAGCCACGAAAGTATTCACTTAGAAGCGCTGGGTACTCAGAAGTTTTTTTGAGTTCAATATTGTTCCAAAGGTTTAAAATTATATAAATTTTGCCCCTACTACTAAAAATTAACATTAACTACTAAAATAGTGATATTGATCATTAACATTTTAAGGATATGGGACACAATTGCTACAAATTTAAACTTTTGGGGTAATATTGAATTCAAACAAATTTTTAGGTGCCTAATGCTCCCGATTAAAACTTTTGGGACAAATTTGCTTCGCAACCCAAAAATAATTTGAATAAGAATACATTATTTTACTAATTCAACTTCCTGTTCTTTAACGGCTGCATGTAGTTACAATGAAGCTCATCTCAAGATCTTGAGATATGAATAAGCAATTATCTATGATTGAAAAAAGATGGTCAAATCACGACAGGCATCCTCCCTGTATAAGGCTGGAGGAGAGCAGGATGACAATATATACAATAAAATCGTTTAATAGTATAATGGAATGATGTATATTCAATTGTCACAATGGGATTCACTAACCCAAGCACGGTTAATGTAGCAGCGGTAGACTCGCTTTGATAGAGCGAAGGAAAGCTCTCTCAAATCTCCATTACAATAGAATACAAACATAAAGGACTTATGAATCTAGGAAAGTATAAACACAAAAAGAAAACAAAACTTTTCCATTTCTAGAATAATTCGAAATTCTAAGGAAGGGAAGTAAGAGAGGAGAGAGGATTTGGGAACAGAAATCATGAAAAAGAGAGGCATATTGAACAAAGAGGTGAAGGCAAATACTCCTCTGGTCCTAAATATAAGACCTCTTTTGTAATGTAAATTACATTACAAAAAAGGTCTTATATTTAGAACTAAAGGAGTAACTAAAAAGAGATGTAGAGTATCAAATCTGAAGAGGAGATTTAGGAACTGGTTTTAGTGCTCATCACTTTGATGAGCACTATAAGCTCATCAGATCTAGACGGTCTATATATTGATTTGAATAGTCCAAATTTAAAATCTTTAATTAATTATTTTTTGTTAGATTTTTGGGCTTGGATCCGCCCTTGATGGGCCGGATTATTTGACCGGGTATAAAGAGAATATATCAGTCAAATATCCAAGCGATATTGTGATATGTTTGACTTGGTCAAACACCCTGAATCATATCCAATCGGTTACGATATAAATCTAATTAATTTATATTAAATTAATTAATTTATATTGTGTAGATTAAATATATATTAAGTATATATATATTTAGAATTAATTGTGATTGATTCTGGATTTAAATTCAAATATCATGATATTATGAGATAAGGATATATTATATCTTATCTCTGATTTTATCTGATGGACTCAGTGGATATTTTTATACTACCCAAAATATCCCTGACAAAAGCTATAAATAGAGGCTTCCCCCCATCAGTTCAAATCACTCCAGTAGTAGAGCTTTCCTACTATCTCTCTCTCTCTTATTTTCTTTCTTGCAAAAGAGGTGCTCTGCTGTGCACTTAAAAGCTCAGACTTTTATAGTCTAGCTTAAGCGTGAGCTAAGAAGATCCGACCGACCCCCGACCTGAGATCCGACCCGGTATGTTTTCAATCTATTGTGTTATTTATCTTACATTGGTATCAGAGCCGAGATGTTCTTGAGGCTCTCAATATATGTGTGCATATATATAATACACGCTCATTTTTTCCGCTGCATCATGAATATGCCGTATGCAATTCGAACTCTACATGCTTGTGTTTTAAACTCAGATACACACTCCGTTTATATAAGTGAAGTTTGAAAACATTACCTATTATTCCGTAAGGTTCAAAAACGTGACCGAAGTCTTCTTTCTAAAGCTTCCAACGTCGGCCGTTTGAACCATTTTTTTGGGTCTTTAAAAATGATGTTTTTTAAAGAAAATGAACCCATAGAGTTGTAGAGCATGAAAATACGAGTTCATAGACACATAAAATGCATAAAACGGAGCTCGGAGAGAGGAAGATATCACTGTTTGAAAATGGCGGGTCGCGACGGACTCGCGCGGAGCTCCAGCCGGATCTGGAGCGACCTGGCTGGAGGTCAGGGACGACCTAACCAGCCCAAAACGGCATCGTTTTGGGCTAGGCCAGGACGCGGCGTTTCACTTCAAGTGAAACGCTACGTTTCGGGTCTGTGGACCCGGATCCTCCCTGCCTACCGACTCGACCCAAAAATTTT